AAGATTTCTTGCAACAGGAAATTCGTATCAAGATTTAAATTTAGTTCTTTAATATCTCAACCGCTGCTGACAAAAATTATCCCTGAAACATGTCGGGCTATTTATAAATGTCTGGCATATTAAATAAAGGTGACAGAAATAAATACTTTTTATTCGGAAATAAAAAACAACCTAAAATGTCCTTAAGTACGGAGAGCTATGGGACGACTGAAATAATTAAGTAGCTAAATGCGATTACACCTTCCTAAAAGCGTTTCTAATTAGGCTTCTAAATGATTTAGTTAGTCAGAAACCATCCTTGCTACTGAATTTAGTAGGCTAGCTTACTGAATGCTATTACCCTTCACTGAATTCAGTAGCGACTGAATTTAGCCAAGCGTAATAAGCCTTTAAGAAAAACACTTCTTAATGAGGGTAATACCCATGGAGTTAATAAGTACCTATATCTCAAATATTAGGTGTACTATCTATGGAGATATTTAGACTTTATAGAATTTAGGACTTTTTGCATTCCCGATCCTGCGGAAAGAATGGAAAGCAGCCGACGTCGCCCAAAACACGTCATCTCGGATCCTCCCGATCCACTAACGGTGCTTTTAGGTACCTCAAGCACCAGTCACCGTTCTCGTCGAACCCGTCGCTTGCGACGAAGCGCTCGACGAGTAAATTAACTCCCAGACACAGCCCACTGAGTTTCTCGCCGGATCTTCTCAGTGGGTCGCGTTTCCGATCCGGTGGTAGATTCTGCGAAGCACGGCTCTTACTAGGGTTCGTGTTAGCAACGTCGTCAGGTTTGAGCTCCGTGAACTCACTTACTAGTTAAGGTTACGCTGGAATAGCCTCTCAGAGCTACCAGCTTAGGTGAGAAAAAAAAAGGACTTTTTGGCGGGAACGCGAGGAGTGAAGTTGTGTGATTTGTTTTATTTTGTCTATTTAGTGTTTTTTCGGGTTTAAATGTGTAATAATGGTGGTTTATTAACTGTTTAATATCTGTGAAAGTGCACAAATGTGGGAAAATGAAACAAAGCCGCTGGACGTAACTTCGCAGGATCCCCCAAAAAGCCCACTGAAAAATCTTAGTAAATAACCACCATTTTACTATGATTATATTTCATCCCATATCATCTCATCTCATTGCGTTTAATTTCATCCTAGTTGATTAATGTCTCAAATTAATCATTTTCATTCCATTTCATTTAATTTCCCTCCATATTACCATTTTTCAGAAAAATAAGCATATAAATTTAAAATAAGACATGACTCAAAGGTCCTAGTTACCAGGTCATAAAATCCCTTAAAAAAAATAGAGAATTTAAAGCCGAAGCAATAGAATCACTAAAATAAAAACAATGTCTAAAATATTTACACCTACGAATCAAATACGTCTCACAAATGTGGCGATTGTAAGATTAAAGAAAGGCGGAAAGAGGTTTGAAATAGCCTGCTACAAGAACAAAGTGCTGTCTTGGCGAAATAAACTGTAAGATCAACAATACTTAAATATGTTTTTACATTCACCTTCGATAGTGAGAAACACACCAGTTTACTTTTGTACTTTCTCAATTATTTCGTAAGATTTGTTTATGAAAATATTATTTAAATTGAAACAAGGCACACGCGCGAGACCATAGACATGAAAAAAACGCAGAAGTTAGATGAGAAAATTTATCAAATAACACCCCTAATTTGTAATAATTACCTATCATCAGACTTCAAGAGTACTATAAGTTCCTCATTTTGTGAAGAAACGCGAACCGCAATATCTTCATAAACGATTGAAAATTTTAATTTAGACAGTGGCTTGGCCGTGTCTCCTGCTGTCTTAAAAAACTATGGTGACTACTGACCATTAGGTGGGCTACATACTCTTCTACTTACAAAAGTAATGAGGAATCGGTTGAAAAAATTGATAAAAAAATATAAGTCAAATTCTTCTTTCTATCTTAGAAAATTTATCATAAAACTAATGATCAATCCATAAAGATGCTATAAATGTAAAATTATTACTTAGACATTTATGTATTATGTTATATCAATGTTATTTAACGTTAATCTATGATTAATGTTTAATATTTAAATTAATCTATGATTAATGTTAAATAATTAAATTAATCTATGATTAATGTTAAATAACATTGCATCAGTGTTCATTTTGATTGAAAGAAATAGTTGTAACAATAAAGCAGTAAAGTTTTAATTCAAATATGCTTATGTTCTGAGATATGCCTTTTTACATAATGTTTCAAGAAAGCTCTCCACAATTATCAATGGTTTTCCTGTACCTCTGGTTCTACTAATGTATCCAAATTTTTTGTAACAACAAAAGCAACTAGGTAGTAAAATAATATTTCAATAAACAAATCTTATCATCAAAATTAAATAAACAATCCAAAAATACAGATTAAGTAAGCAAGGTTATTGTTATAAATGAGAGAGATGATTAGCATATTAAATGAATTTCAAACTTATGAAATTTCAATATATTCCTTCCTAATTGCTGTGTAATTTAATATGGCTCGAAATCCATTTTTATTTAAATCCATAAATAAAATTTTCTCCTATTAGATTACAACACGAGTCACCTGGAGAATCAATAAAGAGTAGATTTCAAAACAATTTTAATATAACATCAGATCAAAGTAAAAGCTATTTCGAAAAATGTTTGCCAATACTCACAAAACCTATGTCTTTCATGTTTTTTCTATACTCTTTAGTACTATTACTATTACTGTTACTATTACTTTACTATTACTATTACTATTACTATTACTATTACTATTACTGTTACTGTTACTATTACTTTTAGAATTCTTTCATTTGGTCTTTTTTTTCTTATTACAGAGAAAAAGACATTGATGAAGTTTTACAGACTCATACCGTCTTTACAAATGTTTCCAAAGGACAAGTTGCAAAGAAAGAAGACTTAATAAAGATTTTTGCCAAAGAAGATCAAACGGAGATATGCAAAGAAATTCTTGAGAAAGGAGAACTACAGGTTTCAGACAAAGAAAGACATTCACAGATAGATTCTTTATTTAAAGATATTGCAACTACTGTAGCTGATAAATGTGTCAATCCAGAAACAAAACGACCATATCCAGTTTCTATAATAGAGAAGGCAATCAAAGATGTCCACTTCTCAGTCAATGTAAACAAAAGTGCAAAACAACAAGCTTTAGATGTGATACAAATATTAAAGAATGAAATACCTATTGAAAGAGCTCAAATGAGAGTAAGGATATTACTCACTGGTAAAGATGCTCGGAAAACTAAGGATAAAGTTGTTAAGCTTGCTACAACAGTGGAAGATGAAAACTGGGAATCTGGAACTGCTAATATTGTGTGTCTTATAGATCCTGGCAACTTTAGAAGTTTGGATGAAATGATAAGAACTGAAACAAAGGGCACAGGGCAATTTGAATTATTGAATTTGAAGGAAATGGTTGAAGGTGACCAAGCACTTTAGTTGTATTGTTGCAATTTTTCTGTATTAAATAATTGTAAACTAATGCCCAAATTAAATTATTTTCTAGGCTGAATTTCATCTATCAGTAGGATAAGTTACTTAGTATTTATGTTGTAATGCCCATGGGTTCTGGTAATTAGTTAACATCAGGTGGCCTTTGAACAGGTATGCTCATCAATAACAAAAAAGCCTTTTTAACAGGTGTATAGGTAGTATTCATACATAACAGATCTCCAGAGAAATCAGAAATTTTGATTTTAATCCAGAAAACTTGGCACAGACAATTCTCCAGATCAAAATCATAAAAGTCTATCCTTTGGAATGCAGTGCAACTTTCTAGAACATTCTTGAGGTACGACTCAGTAAGATCTCGATCTCCCAGTTAAATTGAGCTAAATCTTATTCATTAGTGCTGCTTTAGCCGATGAGCTGCCAAGGTGTGATTGTAACACTGACCATGTCATCAATGGTCAGTGACCTTGACGCCTGTGCCTCAAAATTCAGATTCGATTTTTATTTTACTCTGTATACCTACTTGTATATTTAGTATTAAGGGCCAGGCTGTACTTGTTCTTGTCTCATGTGTTTAGTCAGTACCCATAACCTAGGAGAAAATCGTTGGTTACGCGCGGATTAGTAATGGGATGCTAGTGAATTATTGGAATGGCGCCACCTTTGGAGTTTGTTAGTTACTAATTACCGCGACTATCCAAAGCGTGGTTCTACCCGATCGATCACGCTTTACCGCTAGCTGCCTAGATGGCGGCACTTGTATATTGTGTGGTGCTTGAGCTTACGAAAAGCTACGTGAGCTTCGTCACCCCCTCCCGCCGCCCGCGTGCTTCCATCGCCGACGCCCGCACGACAGTCACTGGCAAGGTCTACAGGTGAGTGCAAGTTCTTTTAATTTATTGCCATTTTATTGCTGCTTCCGTGTAATCATTCGCCCGCCCGCTCGCTTATGTGTATTTAATTTATATCTTTAGTTTGATTACTAGCTTTTGTTTACCGCTATATAGTTTTACCGCTCCGCTAATTATAAGTGACAAACATTTGTCACATACCGCTTAGGACGGCTATTTACACGCCTTTCTACAACCCCGCTTTATATGCTCCCGCCGCAGGAGGGCTATTTACACGCCCCCTTGCTACCCCATAGTTTGGTCCTGCGAGCCTGGATTAGATCCAGCTTAAATTTTAATTAAAATTAGAATTAATTTATGATTACCCCCATTCGCCATTTTGTTACAGTATTGTATTGTATGTAAAAGTTAATTACATTCATCGCTATTAGTAATAATAACTCGTAACCGCATATTGAATTATATTTATTAACGTAGTTCATTTAGTGTTATTTTTTAGTCAGTTATTTCATAACTTCATTATGGAAAATAGACAACTAAAGAAACTTATCGCGAAGAATAATTTAGTATTTGCACAAATTAATGATTTATATAATAAATCAAAAAATATTTCGGAGTTTGATTCGGAATTAATTGAAACTTTTCTTGCCGAATCAGAATCGATTGATGACATGCGTGTTAGATTTGAAAGCAATTTGGATGATATCAATGATTTAAATTTAAAGCAAAACCCCGAAGTTGAGCCTGAATACGCAGCTTTATCGTCTTTTGACACGTTATATAATTACGTAAGACGCGCTCGTAACAAAATTACAATTGGTAATTCGTCAAATGTAATGAGAACTACCGCCGCCATAAATGTAACATTGCCAACAATTTCACTTCCTTCCTTTGACGGACGCTCTCTTGAAGGATGGGAAACATTTTACCAGGCTTTTAAAGCTAACATTCACGATAACCCGCAACTGTCTGATGCGCAACGTGTGCAGTATTTAATGGGCAAATTAACACATAGTGCATTAAAGTTAACCGCTGGTATAATACCCACAGGTGAAACTTATAATATTATTTGGTCGAATCTAATTAGTAAATATCAGGATAAACGAGCTTTAGGATGTCATTATCTGAATAATATATTAGATTTAAAAAATTGTTCACCTACCGCAAATAGTTTAAATATGTATATTGAAAAAATTTCATCTTCGATTGCCGCTTTGAAACAATTAAATTTACTTGATTTGACTGATTTTATTTTATTACAATGCTCACTGAGAAGGTTGGATCCTCAAACTTTACATTCGTTTGAAGCATCGGTTCGTGGTATTGAAATACCCACAACTGAAATGTTTATTAAATTCATACAGGATCAGATAAAAATATTAGAACGCTCTGCACCGAAGTGTAACATAGAGAAATCTAAAAATCACAAATCGTTTATTTCCAGTAGTTATAATGACCCAGTCCGCACTGAAAGGGTTAACAAACCGGTTTCGTTATCTACGTGCGATCTTTGCTCGAGCTCGCACCACACGCAGTTATATCGTTGTAATGAATTTAAAAATATTATTTCACCGCAAGAACGTTATGATTTTATTAAATCGCACAAGGGTTGCATCAATTGTTTAAGCTTATCGCATACATTAAAAGCATGTCAATCAAAGTTAACATGCAATAATTGTAAGAAATATCATCATACTTTGTTGTGTTTTGGTAATAAACGGGCGAATCGAAAAAGTAAAAGCGTACCCAGTCCATCGAATGACTACGCTGATATGGACAGGCAGGTCAGTCGGTCGCAGGTACATGGAATTCCGAGTGATGCCGCGCGGCCCGATTACGGTCGGTCCCAGGTTCAATCTCAACCTGTTGTTCAGAGTTACGATCATCATGATGCCGCTTCGAATACTTGTTTACACTCTAACAGAACGATACAACAACAAAATAATACGACCGCTACCACGTTGACTCACAGTTCGGAAATAAAATCGAATAGTAATATTTTATTATCAACCGCTCAAATATACGCTCACTCGAATAAAGGGGAACGTAAAATAGTTAGATGTTTAATAGATAATGGTTCCCAAAATAATTTAATAACTGTCAATTGTTGTAAATTACTTAAATTACCGATTATACCTTTAAATAATTCTTATATTAGAGGTATTGGATTAACCGCTCGCCCGATTCACGGATATGTTTATTTAAATATTGAATCTAGATTTTCTCCTAATAAATATTATATTCACGCTTTAGTAGTAGACTGTATTACAGATAAATTACCCGCTTATTTTATAAATTCCTCAAATATGAATCATATACGTAATTTACCGCTTGCCGATTCAAACTGGAACGTTCCAGGTGTGATTGATATGGTGTTAGGTGCTCAGTTATTTCCATATATATACTTAGGTAATCGTATAGATACTGGCTCACTAGCGCCACCTGCCGTAGAAACAACCTTCGGTTATGTTCTTATGGGTGACGTACCTGAAGTGAGTTACACCGGCATTATGAAACCGCAACATGATAATTTTTCTGTTATAAATGATAATAATACCTCTTTGTGACTATCTAGTACAGTTTATATTGATAATCCACCCGCTTTCGAAAATACTAAAATTCATTCTGCATTCACTTTAAATAAAACTTTCTCATCTATAACGCATAAAGACCTTGAGTCATTTTTACATAAATTTTGGGAATTAGAGGAGATTCCTCATGAGCGTCATCTTAGCCCTGAGGAAGCCGAGTGTGAAAACAAATATATTTCTACAATTACCCGCGATAATGATGGCCGATATACGGTTGAGTTACCATTTAGTAGAAATCCCGCTGACCTTGGCAAGTCTTATACTGTTGCTCACCGCCGTTTTCTTTCGCTCGAACGTAAGTTTGTTCAATTACCCTCACTCCGCGATGATTACGATATCGTTATACAGGATTACATTAGTAAAGGTTATTTAACTGAAATTAACGACACCGCTAAGGAAACCGATAACGGTTATTATATACCGCACCATGCAGTTATCCGCCCAAGCAAGACTACCACTAAACTACGTGTAGTTCTTGATGCTAGTGCTAAAACATCTAGTGGACTGTCACTTAATGACGTCTTGCATACTGGTCCAAATTTACAGGCAGACTTATTTTTGCTTTTACTACGCTTTCGTTTGTTCCCTGTGGCACTGTGCGCTGATGTGGAACAAATGTACTTACGCATTAGGGTGACCACAGACCACCATAAATATTTAAAAATATTGTACCGCTTTAAAAATGATAAACTTCGCATTTTCGCTTTTAACTGTCTGCCCTTTGGTTTAAAGTCATCACCTTATTTAGCAATGCGTACTATACGTCAATTAGCATCAGAAGAATGTTATCGTTATCCAGAAGCCGCTAGTGTAGCTGAGTCTCAATTATATATGGATGATCTCGTCACATCCCTACACGAAGATATTTCAGCTATCAAACTATCGAAACAACTAATTTCACTCTTTAAATCAGGAGGTTTTAATTTAACAAAATGGGCAAGTAACTCCACTGCCTTTCTTAATAGCCTTCCAGAAACGCACCGCTCTTCTGTAAGCTTCTCTGATGATGCTAATAATACCATGAAAGTTTTAGGCCTTGCATGGCTTCCCGCTAATGACTCATTTTTTATGACGAGCTCAAACACTAATGAAAAGTGCACTAAAAGAACAATATTATCTTTAGTCGCACGCTTGTTCGACGTGCTTGGTTTGGTTGCTCCAGTTATACTGTTCGCTAAATTGCTTATTAAGGAACTCTGGAATTCTAAAATAGACTGGGATGATACACCTCCAGATACAATTATTTACCGCTACTCTTCACTTGTGAAAGAGCTTCCATTGCTTTCAACTATAGCAATACCGCGCCATATTGGAGTTTTTAAAGACTGTGAAGTAAATATTGTTGCATTTTGTGATGCAAGCTTGAACGCTTACGGTTGCGTTGTTTATTTACACATTACAGATCCCACAGGAGATATTACTTTAAGATTATTGTGCTCAAAATCAAAGGTTTCTCCGGTTAAAATAACTACATTAGCTCGCCTTGAGCTTTGTGCCGCTCTTGTTTTGTCAAAATTAGTTAAACTTATTTATAACGCTTATAATTCTTTACATCCTATCACCGCTATATACGCTTTCTCAGATTCTACAATTGCTCTTTCTTGGATTAAATCTTCCCCGCATAGATGGTCAATATTTGTAGGAAACCGCATCGCTCAAATTCAGGAGAATTTATCACCTGACCGCTTTTTTCATATTAATGGTAAGGAAAATCCTAGCGATTGTGTGTCACGAGGTCTTTTACCGTCACAAATTATTAATAACTCGCTTTGGTGGCAGGGTCCTTCTTGGGCCTGCTATCCTATTTCACAATGGCCTATTGAACCTTTTGTACCTTGTAAATCTGGAAGTGACATACCTGAAATGAAAAAATCTGTAACACTTACCGCTTTAACTGTTGTCGAAGATTCCCCAATATATCAACTTGGGTTGAGAATTTCGTCATGGTCAAAACTTCTTCGCTGTGTTGTTTATGTACTTCGATTTATAAGAAAACTACCGCGAAACAAGTTTGTAACCGCATCCGATTTAAATACTGCTGAGAAAGCTATTATTCGAGCTCTTCAAGCTAAATATTTTGGTCATGATATTGCCAGCATTAGAAAATTAGATTTACCTTCGAAAAATATTCGTAAACTTAGTCCATTTATTGACGAAGATGGAATTTTACGTATTCAGGGTAGACTTTCGAGCTCTGATTTACCGTTTGAAACGCAACACCCCGCTTTATTGCCAAAACACGATCACATAATAAATATTATTGTTGATTATTTTCATAATACAAACTTGCACACTGGTCCGGACCTTTTGATGTCCATTATTCGTCAACGCTTTTGGATATTGTCCGCTAGAAACGTTATAAGAAAAAGAGTGCATATGTGTAAATCATGTTTTCGAGTATCACCTTCACACCCAACTCCCATGATGGCTGACCTTCCGTCAAGCCGTGTAATGGAGGCCAAAGCTTTCTGTCACACGGGAGTAGATTACGCGGGCCCATTTAAGATAACGCTTGTACGCAAACGTGGTCATCATTCACAAAAGGCTTACATTTGCCTGTTCGTATGCTTAACGACAAAGGCTATACATATTGAGTTAGCCTCGGATTTGTCAACGGACTCATTTCTTGCCGCTTTCAAACGTTTTATATCTCGTCGAGGTCCAGTTTCTTTCATGTATTCAGATAATGGCACTAATTTTGTTGGCGCAAAGGCTCAGTTAGATGAAATGTATAAACTTCTAGTTTCAAATAATTTTATATCCGCATGGAATGATGAATTAACTAAATACCGAATCATTTGGAAGATGATCCCGCCTCGGGCTCCACATTTTGGAGGTTTATGGGAATCAAACATTAAATCCGTTAAAACTCATTTAAATAGAGTAATAGGCGCACAAATTCTCACTTACGAAGAGATGTTAACTGTGTTGAATCAAATAGAATGTCTTATGAATTCCAGACCTTTATGTCTTTTATCCGCAGATCCCAACCCCGAAATTCTCACACCCGCACATTTTTTGATGTCCACTCCTTTGCAGTATTTACCCGCGTCTGAATTGTCCGCAAATCAGATGAGTCTAACTAATCGCAAAGCGTTGTTAGATAGTTTGGTTAATTCCTATTGGAGGAAATGGAGATTAGAGTACCTGCATACGTTGCAAGTCAGACAGAAGTGGTGTACATCAGATAACCCCGTGAAGGTTGGGACAGTAGTTCTTATTCATCAAGATGACATTCCACCGCTCCGCTGGCCACTTGGCGTTATACAAGAGGTGTATCCAGGTGCCGATAACATTATACGCGTTGCTTTGGTAAAAACGAAATCTGGATTTCTTAAACGTCCAGTTGTAAAATTATATCCGCTACCGCTAGAATAAATTAGAGTACCGCATGTCATCAACCGCTTCAACTCTACTCGTAAACATTCATGATGGCTTATTATTAATTAAAATTTGTTTCTTTTCAAATAACTTCCCGCTATTTAAGCTTTATGCTTCCTATCTTAGTATCTTTATATATTTGTTGAAAGTCCTGCGAACTTTCAAGGCGGGCAGGATGGTCACGCGGATTTAGTAATGGGATGCTAATGAATTATTGGGATGGCGCCACCTTTGGAGTTTGTTAGTTACTAATTACCGCGACTATCCAAAGCGTGGTTCTACCCGATCGATCACGCTTTACCGCTAGCTGCCTAGATGGCGGCACTTGTATATTGTGTGGTGCTTGAGCTTACGAAAAGCTACGTGAGCTTCGTCACCCCCTCCCGCCGCCCGCGTGCTTCCATCGCCGACGCCCGCACGACAGTCACTGGCAAGGTCTACAGGTGAGTGCAAGTTCTTTTAATTTATTGCCATTTTATTGCTGCTTCCGTGTAATCATTCGCCCGCCCGCTCGCTTATGTGTATTTAATTTATATCTTTAGTTTGATTACTAGCTTTTGTTTACCGCTATATAGTTTTACCGCTCCGCTAATTATAAGTGACAAACATTTGTCACATACCGCTTAGGACGGCTATTTACACGCCTTTCTACAACCCCGCTTTATATGCTCCCGCCGCAGGAGGGCTATTTACACGCCCCCTTGCTACCCCAATCGTAGTTAGGGGTTATTGAATTTAGGATGTTTATTTAAAGAGTATTATTATTTAGTGTGTTATTCTGCTTCTTTTTTTTAAGTATCTTAACTGCTTGTGATACTGTTGTTGTCAGCATCGAGTTTATTTGTTTGTTAACTAATCCATGCATATAATTTACTAAATGGAGCAAAATAAAATGAAGTTGATGAATCTAAAATGATTATCATTAGGATTTGAAGTCATCGTGGCCTAAAAAATAAGGCGTTTACGTCGTAGATATCTAGAGGCTCCAGTAACCACTTAACATCAGGTGGGCTATGAGCTCGTCCACGCTTCAAAGCAATAAAAAAAAATTGTTGAAATAATACATTAGGAAGTAATGCCCCAGTAAAGTGGTGAGAATTCATTGGAGTTTCGGGGAATTTCGTTTTATTTTCCTATATTGGTGCATTTTCAGCTATACTATAAAAACAGTTCAATAAATATAATATGTCATCATCAATAGGTACATGCTTATATAATAAACTATAGAGTGGCAAAAGAAAATAAGTCGTATAAATTCTCACAGATAAAGTCCGTACTCATTGGGTAGGTATTTGATTAGTATTTCTCAATTGGGCAAAAAGTTAATGAAATCTGCATAATAGGTTTACATTTTCGTTCGTATAAAAATTTATTTTTTTAAGTTTAGTTAAAGGTACCGATTTATTTAGGACAATGATATTGTGTTTAGAATTTGTCAGATTTAGTGCCGTACCGTGTTTTCTTTGGTTTCCGCGAGATACTTCGATAAACTTTGATTAAAAAGGTATCTACTAATAAGTCTACGTAGATGTATTAGTAAGTAGGTAGGTATAGTATCTATAGTAAGTCATCCGTAACTACGAAAACCGTAATCTAATGAAAAAGTTGAAAATAATAAGACCTTAGACCGTAAAAGTAACTGAATAATATTGAGACCATTGATGCAGAGCATGCGTTGACAGTGTTTCGTTCAATTCGCTATAGAATCCAATAAGAAAGTAATTGAAAAAATAGTGTAATTTTAGAGGTTTTAATTTTAGCGGGCTTTATATATAGACTAACTTTTGCCCGCGACTTCATCCCCGGGGAATAGTTCACAAATAATGCTTTATTTTAGAACAAATTTGGTTAGCATAAAAAACGTTATAGTGAGCCAACCTTATTAGACAAAAGATCTATGTTTCAAAATCGGGGTTATTTTTACATTTTGAGAGCTTCCGCTGCAGAAACGGTTAAAGTTTCGCTAAAATAATGTATGACAGATTGTTTCCCTTTAAAAGACCTAAAAAAAAGTCCGCGACAGCATATGTCTATATGTTACGCGTGAACATATAGACATATAGATTTTGAAACATTCTTTATTGGTGCTCCGCTTGTATTGGTCTTAGCGTGATGTTATATAGCCTATAGCTTTCCTCGATAAATGGGCTATCTAACACTGAAAGAATTTTTTGAATCGGACCAGTGGTTCCTGAGATTAGCGCGTTTAAACAAACAAACTCTTCAGCTTTTTTTTTAAGGGATTTTATGACCTGGTAACTGAGACCTTTAAGTCATATCTTATTTTAATTTATATTCATATTTTTATGGAAAATGATATTATGCAGTGAAATGAAATGAAGATGATTAATTTGAGACATTAATCAACTGGGATGAAATGAAATGAGATGATACGGGATGAAATATAATCTCAGTAAAATGGTGGTCATTTACTAAGATTTTTTCAGTGGACTTTTTGGAGGATCCTGAGAAGCTACGTCCAGCGGCTTTGTTTCATTTTCCCACATTTGTGCACTTTCACAGATATTAAATAGTTAATAAATCACCATTATTACACATTGAAACCTGAATAAACACTAAACAGACAAAATAAAACAAATCCAATCCATCATTGTTCCATCATTTTTAGTTAGAATTGTATTACTTTAGCAACAGAGAATATTCGCTACGAGTATAGATAAATTTGTATATACACATATCTGTTGTAGATTATTTATTATGTAAAATCGCAAAATCCTGTCCGTAAAATGGAATAACTTAAAATGTTTGTTACTGTAGCAACATTTATCTATTTGAAAGGAAATTAATTAGACTGCATTACTTTATTAATTTGCATTTGCTTTATTTGTTTTTTCAGTGGCAGCTTTGAAGCGTGGCAGATAAATTAAGATAAAGATCTATCTTTTATTTTTTATTAACATTTAAAATTTTAATATTAAATCTCTGAATTTCACATTTCGAATAGCCAACCTCAGATCATATTAATAGATGAATTGAAAAAAAATATCTGCTAGTTAGGGCAAAAAATAGCAAAGTCTCAGCAGACACAGAACTCATACTTTAAGAATGTTCAAGATTGAATACGAGTAAATTTTTGGGAATCGTTTTAGTAATCGGTTATAGTCAACGTTGTATTAAAATGGCTATTCGAGACTTTTAACGATTTTTTTTGTATGTTTTAAAACCGGTATTGAATCGAAAGGTGGAACGAAACGCTAAAGTGAATGTACTATTCAAATGACAAATTAATAAGTTTTTTTTTCTTATATTGGTACAACATTTTATTGATTGTTTTCTTTCATAGGATTTTCGGCCAGACGGCGACTGAAATTACAAGTTACTGTGATATATTTATTTTCAATAATTAATTATTCTTATCAGACAATTAAATGAGCACGTATATCAAGTTATGTCTATAAGTAATGGAAGGTTCAGAAGTGGGTGGCGACCAGCAATTTTGTTTGAGATGGAACAATTTTCAAGCAAATATAACATCTCAATTCGAGGCACTGCGCGATGATGAGGACTTCGTGGATGTCACTCTGGCATGCGAGGGACACAGGCTCGAGGCCCACAAAGTGGTACTTTCGGCTTGTAGTCCATATTTCAAGGAGCTATTTAAAGTAAGTCGATCTTTCACTCCCCACACTTTGATGTGTCACCATTACAATGACTCTAGTGAAAGTTGTTATGTATAAAACACTTGATCTACTTACAAATGCCATGTCTCGCGTTCCGGTTAAGTACTCGTGATTTCATTTATTTGTACCTACTTTAAAATTCTGTTTCGTGATTTCTAATTAGTAACTCATTACCATTGGGTTTTATAGATTACATGTGTGTCTGGAAAGCAGATAACGAATTTCTTATGCATTTGGATCACCATTAAATGCATGCTAATGACTGTTGGCTTCTTTGATGTGAAAATATTTTGTAATGTTAGCATTTGGGGCACAGTGAAAAAAATGTGATTGCTAAGAAAGAGCCTTGCATTAAAAAACAAGGTTTTGAATAAATATTTAATAAGTGCATCACTTATTTGCATTTATGAATAAATTAAAACTGTCAAAAATGGTCTTATGCAAGTTAAATTAGCATTAGTAAAGTGTTGACAATCTAATTTTACTGCCTCAAAAAGTGTAGTATACTTTACCTGATATTATATATGATTGATAATAAAAATTCAATAAAAATAGTGAAATATTTTAAAAGAAAAGACAATTTGTTCAATTTTCATAATGCATTTCAAATGATCTTTTAGATTAGATTATATACAAAGTATGAATACAACAAGGAGTATAAAGTTTTCTTAGTAGTTGTAAGTTCCCATAGTTTTACATCCAATAGAAATCATAATTGCATCAAAATTTTATTCTTCAAATAAGAATGCATCATAGTTTTGTGCCTCAAATCTTGTGGATTATGATAACATGCAAATTCCTTGTACCGCCTTTAATTAAAAGGGAATTAGAGTGACCATACTTTTTGTTAATATGCTTTTAGATGAAGAATTTCAAATAAATACTCTTTGGGCAGATAATGTTGTGTTTATTGTAGTCACTTACTTCTTTATTTTGTTTAATTACAAATGAATTCACCAATAATTAATATGAATCAAAATTTGGCTGAAGGAGTTTGGTTCAGTACGATTAGTGGCTGACTCATAGACAAAATTTTATAAATGAGCCAACCTGTCGGTCATGTAAGGGTGACATCTTGATTGCATTGCAATAGTAATTGTCTCAGAACTAATAACTGCTTTGATAAGTTTAAATTAACACATGACTGCATGAAGAACTAGGCAGGATGAAACTACTATGAGTAATTGAGGCCTATAAAATCAAAGGCAGCCAAATCCAAGTCTGTCAAATATTCAGGTAAACTACAAACATTGGCCCTAAACACGTCATTACGGATCCTCCCGATCCATCGAAGTACTGCTCTTGCTAGGGCCAGTGCTAGCAACACTCCCGGTTTGAAAAGCTGAAACTTTGTTCGGATAGCTACGATATTATTTATTTTAAAGTAGATTTATAAAGAATGAGAATATTGCTAATAATCTGAATTTTAAATGATCAAACTTCGTTTATTAGTACTTAGTACTGAGTAAAAATAAATTTTTTGAACTGAATTTGTTAGAGATTTAGCTGCATTTGTTATAACATGAAAACACTAAAGCGTGTTCAACTAACTAAATTAGATAGCGCCATTGTTAATCCATTTTACGACATTATGGCGTTTAGCTGCCTTTGATTTTATAGGCCTCAATTGGCAAATAATTATTATTATTACTTATTGGGGAAATAAATTACTTATAAACTAGTGCACAGCACTGAGACAATTATTATTGCAATGCAATCAAGATTTCACCCTTATATGAAAGGCAGGTTGGCTCATTTATAAAATTTTGTCTATGAGTCAGCCACTAATCATACTGAACCAAATTCTTTCAGCCAAATTTTGATTCATCTAGGTAGTAGTACTAGGTAAGTAATTATTTACAAAAAAGGTACTCGCTCTCATGGCTTAGATCCTAGTGTAGTCAAACCACTCAATCAAGAAAAGCAGACATCATACCCATGATATAACTATATTTGGCTTCATTAACATATAGAACAATATTATTTAATAATAATATGCATAGTGTCACCTAAAATAAATTTATTCTTAACTCTGAATTAAGGCTTTGTTAAAGAGCTTTGTAAAGGCTTAGTTCATTATGATATTAATGAATTTGTATTATGTCAATTACCTAATATAAACATCATTGCACATTTAACAGTTCCAAGTTGATATTGACAATGAGAGTGATAGACGAAAACATGTATAGATCTTGACAGAAAAAAAATTATTTCACAAATCCAATCTAGGTGGGATCCAAAAATCCAGACCTCATTGTGCAGTGCTTAGTATTACTCACTGCTAAGGTGCAGTAATTAGTGTCACTAATGAGATGATCAAAAAGTAGTCACAGTATTTTTCAAATGGACATATTCTTATAATGTTTTTTTTTTTTTTGCTTAGATGGGTGGACGAGCTCACAGCCCTCCTGGTGTTAAGTGGTTACTAGAGGCCATAGACATCCACAACGTAAATGCGCCACCCACCTTGAGATATAAGTTCTAAGGTCTCAAATATAGTTAAAATGGCTGCCCCACCCTTCAAACCGAAACGCATTACTGCTTCACGGCAGAAATAGGCAGGGTGGTGGTACCCACACGCACGGACTAACAAGAGGTCCTACCACCAGTAAATTATTAAATTATTGATATTGGATAATTTTAATGGATTTCTGTTAAATTATTGTTAGGATTTAAAAAACCTAGCAATAATATCCCCATTTAATTAAACATGATAGATTTAAATTCATATAAACCAAATTGATAATATTATTAATGTGGAACAATGATGATTGTATCTGTTAATGTATTCCATAAATTTATCAATCGCCCTAAGATAGTGGGAATGTTACTTTGGTCTTATTAACATTGTGAAGTTTAGTTGATAAAACATTGTGTTCAACACTGATATAGCTCAATAATATATGTATAACTCAACCAATATCTAGGTTTTTAACAAATCTGTAAATGTATAATATTAAATTAATGAAAATGAGTTTTTTGAGCCAGACGCTTGTCTACAATTTAGCAATATCATGAATTATTTAAATAGCCAAGATTTTATGGTTTTTATAGCCTTGTGTTATAGATCTATTTACATAAATATTCAAATTAAGTCTTTGAATTATACACAGTTTAGTGAGATTCAGATTGTACAAAATGCAAAGAAAAAAAAATCCAAATATTTTTCCTAAACACAAACATGAGCGAAAACATACTAAGAAGTTTATTATGTTACAGAATAACCCATGCCCTCATCCGATAATATTTATGCGGGATTGCGAAGTGTCGCACATTCGGGCGCTCTTACAGTTTATGTACGTCGGTCAGGTGAACATAGCGCAGGCACAACTTAGCGCCTTTCTCCGTACTGCTGACGCATTACAAATACGTGGACTCACAGACTGCTCTCAACACAACGATAAAGTATGTTTCATTCGCTACCAGATGGTATATTTTTGAAACGCAATTATGAAATAAAATATATAATTTCCAGAAAGTGAATCGAAAATCACCTCCTTCTCAATTACGTAATTTGCTCAGCGCGAAGCCGTCGCATTCTACCTCTTCTTCAAAAGCTGCAAGCCAAAATGTCGAAACAGCTTCAAACGACGACCAAGATGTTGCCGCTCATCAATCTTNTTCATTCGCCACCAGATGGTATATTTTTGAAACGCAATTATGAAATAAAATATATAATTTCCAGAAAGTGAATCGAAAATCACCTCCTTCTCAATTACGTAATTTGCTCAGCGCGAAGCCGTCGCATTCTACCTCTTCTTCAAAAGCTGCAAGCCAAAATGTCGAAACAGCTTCAAACGACGACCAAGATGTTGCCGCTCATCAATCTTCTAGGAATTCTCCCGATGTTGCCAGAAATAATCTCAATGATGATACTTCGTTTCAAACTTCTAGTCATGTTTGGCCTAAGAATGATGACTATAGGGAAATTTGTAATCACCCTCCTTTAAGAGTCAAAACTGATCTCGAAGCTCCAGAAGTGAAAAACGAGGAGAGTGAAATCCTCATGGACCCCGGTGATCCAGATAAAAACGAAAAAAGTCAAGAATTCGCAGCATCCGATCTCCTAGAACCAAAAATGGAAGTCATGGAACAAGAGGCTAGTGACGATGAACGTTCCAATTTTCCACACATGTACTACACTGAAAACAATGCACTTGCAAATCCATTCGCCGCCTTACAAGGTAATTTTTATTAATTTTTTTTCAAAAGTTTTTATTGTCTCGTGACTATTGAGTGATTGGTTTTATTTATTCGCACAGGAAACATGGATCTCATGGCCGGCATCAATCCAGAACTTCGGGACGAAAACAATGAAGGTAAATATTTAATTGTACATAAAGTCATTTCATTTTCACACGCACACGTCGACTCGGACAGCCGCGCCCCCGGCGTACCTCCGTTTAGCACGTACAAGTTGACGAGCGGTAGTAGAGAGCGCGCGCGGTCGTTACTGCGACGGTGGCTAGGCGCGCGGGTGTCGTGGCGACTTCTCCGCCGCATCGTACCGTCGTCCGCCCGCGCCGACTCCGACACCGGAAGACTGACGGCCACGCTCTTCAAATGCTAATAGGGTCAACTAATTAAACGAAAGAAAATTTGTTCCTCTTGCGTCACCTGCGCAAAATGAAATAGTCATGTTTAGTACAGTCATGTGTTGTGAATGTATAGTGTTTATATGCAAGCACCTATTAAAACTCCAACAAAGAAAAACACGTGAAAAGAGAGGGTGCTCGATGGGATTATCTGAACTTCTCCCTCCCACGACCGCCCGCCCCTTCATGAATGCGCTCACGTCGTGTACATACAAATATTACATTCTGAAGAGAATTTGGACTTTCCAGGCCATTTCGGTTATAAAACCCCTATTAACAAGGGGAGTCTATACACATGCTGCATTCAATACTTACCTAGGAAAGATGTCCTTTTGATATCTTAATACTGGAGTAAAAATTGGGGGGAACCTATTAGCATTTGAAGCGGCGCGTCAGTTGGGCGGGGAGGACGGCGGAGGGCGCAATGTGCGGCGCAGTGCGAACGTGGTGTTGTTGGCAGCGGGCGGCACGGGCGCGCCGGGGGGTGCGGGCGGCGGGGTGCAGTGCGCTGTGTGCGGGCGCCGGTACAGCAACGCGTCCAACCTGCGGCAACACGTGCGGCTCATCCACGAGGCGCAGCCAGTCGTGTGCGGCACGTGCGGGCGCAGCTTCAAGACGCCGCTGTACCTCCGCCGGCACACGCTGGCGCAGCACCCACCCGCGCGACTGCACGCGAAGCCGCCGCCGCCGCCGCTGCCCGCGCTGCGGCCCGCGCACCACTTCCAATAGTCCTCCCTCTCGCGCGCTCTCTGGACGCTGCCCGCGAACAAACGTCGTGTCTTGCACCCGTTGTTGACTCATATGTTTGGATTCATTGTTGGATGCCATTATATTTTTAAAATTAACAAATGAGGTGCTTTGAATATATAGTTTTGAATCGACCGACGAAACGTTTTTTCGCGTGGCGTAATCATAAGATGTGGCTTATGAGTCGTAACGAAGACTGTCAAGTAGATATATCTAGTCTGTGATCGGAGTGTCGCCGGGGGCCCATCTGCCGTCACACCTCTCCGCTTATTGTGTGCCTTTCTAAGATATACCGAGTACTAGATGTGTGCTTATTTAACGAGCTCCACGAAGTCCGATTTTTTAGGTTACATTCCCATTGCACTCGATATGAATTCGTTTGAATAAGTAAAGAGTGTGTAAGCGTTTTGTGAGTGTTTTCTTGACTTTACGACCGCACATGATTCACTCTGGTTCGCGGGACATGTCACAAACAGGGAAAAACTACGAACAACGAAACTCCTGTCTCGGCGTTGGTGCTTAGCTCTACGAGAATATTATGAGTAATAGCAGGGACAAGGCTACCGATACACTGACTGGAGCTCGTTAAGTGCAGCGCCCTAGCATCTTCCTTTGTGACAATAGACTGATCGTTGTTAAAGCATTAGTTGCAACCGGTGCTGATTTTACATACATATATAGGTTTAATTAATATACTGGCTACATAATTTATATACACATACACATACATACATTATACACGTTATCCAAGCTCGATCGATATTTTTTATTTGCATCAATGATATAAATGAAAGTGTATTTTCCTAATAGAGTATGTTTTTTTACTAACGATGCGAAATGAGATGTCGATCGAGTCCGTTTTGTTTGTCGATGCCGCGAGTGTACGCAGCGATTATATAGCGATGCAGTGCCGCGGCTCATTACAATAGTGATATTTTTATACACAATAGTTTTTAACTTTACACAATATTCCATTGTTGAGTGAAGAGACGGCTCCCGGTTATAGTTTGTACAAAAGATTCAAATGTAACGAAATATTATTATTATTATTACTTCAAATTCGCTATATACAAACACACATATAGGTATTTGTTGATAACGTTGAAAGCAATAGTTAGATGTTAGAGTCTTCATATTATACTGAACAGATTGTTTACGTTTTTTTAATATTTTTGACGATTTATTCAATTATGGACAAATTCTGCTGAGCAACATTCGCCTGAAAACTCTAGACAAAGATAAGAAATAGTTGGTTGTAGTTTCAAAAGATAATAAAGAGGGTTAGTGGTGGTAACGAAAAATAATTGAAGCTCTGAAGAAATAATATTTTCAAGTGACATTCAAAATTGTGTGAAAAATCAAGAACAAAAAAAAGAACAGAATTTGGCCTATGTTATTCAGAAGGCTACAAACAAGTGGGTTTATCCATGGTATTACATACAAGTGGGTATTTATGGTATTTAATTCAATAAGGAATGAAATACCATACAAGTTCATAGTTGATTTATTGTATGATTCAAATGCCAAGCAACGTTATTGATCCCTTTACTCTTGAGTAGTTTTATATCCTGCCATGATATAATTGTATAAACCCAGTGTATATGTCGGTGTGAGAAACCGTGTTTTATAATTGGTTATGCTATACTATTTTGTACGCTTTTACGATTACCTTTTTTATTAGTTATTAAAAAAAAAACGATTGCCATGAACGAAGCGGTTCTAGTCATTTTATAACAAAAGCATTTAATATGGACACTGTTCAGAAGTTTGATTAGGGTTGTGAATTACGAAAATAATTTTATTATTAATTATTATGTGAACGAAAACAAAAATAATTGTATAGTGTCGGAAATTGTATGATCTCAAGTTGTTTAATATACCTACTTCATGATCTCTAAAATTTCTCTTGCATTTATTTAAAATAATAAAAATGTTTAATCTATAATAATATAATACGAAGAAAATTGCAATAATAATCGATTACTCTTAAAATTAATAATCGCTTTTAAAAATTAGTAATAATAGTTTTTGTCTATATATAAATATATATATAAAAGCACGTTTTCCTTGCAATAACTTTATGCCAATTACTAAGTTTAGGGCAGTTACATATTTATTATTGACGAATTAAATAAATAAATGTATAGGTAAACTGAATTTCTTCTCAATGCTGAATCTGTTATAATCTAGACCAAAATAATTTCATGGTTTCTAATTTAAAATACTAGTTTTAATAATTTTTCATTGACAAACTTTTTAATTTGCGTTACAGGTTGTATGTAATGTTTTACATTTAAATGAGTAATAGAATAAGACATGGTAACTTTTTATATATTTCAATCAAGTTTTCTTTACTCGATTAGTTCGATACGGTGGCTTCCACGTATTTAATTTTTGATATGTATCATCGATGATAGTAATATGTTGAATTTTGCTTTTTACGAATATTGTACACAAAAGAGAACTTTTTTTATTTATAAATAGTGAAAAAATAAATTACTGCAAGTAAACCAATATTTTATTGTCATTTAATCTGAGAGGTAATTTTTTTTTATAAATATATCGATTTTTTTTTACGGAAATACATGGTTTTTCGTTACGAAAATGATAAAAAATAAATAAATATAAAACGTATTTTAACTATTATTATTAAACCGGGGCCGAGGGCAAAAAAGCATTTTGGCAAACTTGGCTTTGCCGCACTTTATAGAGCTTTTGAGTACAAACCAATGAACGCTCAACAGAAATATCCGAATTTTTTGATTGGCAATTAGACAATCGGATTCATGTACATACTTATAAATCCGAATTTATTTATTTTTAAAACCGAATTGGAAATATAAGCGAACAGCTCTACGACACTACGAGTTACTTAAAGATTAGTAACCGTAATAAATTCATCGAAATTAGACGAGTACTAAAGTAATAGGCGTAATGTATTTATTTATGCATTTGTAGTTTTTGTTTTAAGCAAATCACGATGAGGAATTATTACGTGAAATGAAGTAATTTGTTAGAAAAATTACTACCGCCACGGTTGACGGAAAAGTAGGTGTTGTAACTCGGAATCTTGGGTTGCGTATCATCTGATAATCAATTATTACAATTGAGAATAGCCGAACAGAGTTCTTATTAAGATTCTATAACCTAAACTCCCTTTGGCAGAGTTGGTTTATACTTCAAACACAAATTCAAAAGGAAAGGTACACACACTATATCATCTATACCTACACTTTACAATACATCATCTACAACGATTACGTTGATGGGCTATCATTATGGAATATTACAAATGTATGCTATAATGGTGTGAATAAATGTTTTTCGATAAAATAGCTTATAAAATGATATAGATTTTAAAAATTTGATAATAGATGACGCGTAATGAAAAACTGAATAAATTGTAAGTGGTTTTGTTTGCGAATGTTGGTGTGGCATTGGGGAGATGGGACGGGAGACGAAACCGGCCGGTACCTGACGCGGTCTGGTTGGAACAACATCGGCGTGCCCTACCCTTCGTGCTGAAGAGAGAAAACGAAAGAGGTGGTACCGCCGCACCTAGACTTGTAAGTACATCTATTTTAGCCCAAAATTGTTCCTAGTTGTCAAACACTGGACTTGTGTTTGATTTCCTCTAATTTGCTTGGCGAAATTTCAAATATCCGATGCTCGTCCGAGCTCAAACGAGATCGTCCACCCATCTAAGCAATAAAAAAATTAAAACATGCCGCTGTTACAATTTTCTCACGACTCGCCCGTTCTAGTATTATTCTTATTTAAATTACTAATAATCCTTTCGTTTCTATCCTGATTGGTCCCCTGATGGGACTGGTAGTCCCAGGCTTATCTTAAATTTTAAGAACTTGGCAAACGATTATCCAACATTTAGACCCTTGGTATCTGTTATGTCATAAATTGTTATACTATTGACTTACCACATGAAATAATACGCTGATCCGCTTACTAGATTATTAAGAGGTAAGGGTAAGAATTTATTGACTCTCGAATCTTGATTTAAGCTCTATTGCGAGCCCAAAAATATTAAATCAATAAATTAATAGTAAGACACGTATGCATTACACTTACAACGGAATGTGTTTGTAAGTTCTATTCCGAATTAGTTTGTGACCAAAGGCAAAAAAAATATCGAAATCGATACTTTTTAACAGATTTATAATTACAGAATTTAGGTAGTATTGAAATGTATAGTTTGTGTAAAGTTTAAAATTTATTAATAATAGGGAAATTGGATGATTGCATCCTATTTCATTACCAGTAACAAATGACTAAAACAATTCGGTATAATGAACGCGTTTCGAGTGTAAATGTTGAACTTAAATAATTCATGTTTTTGTATTTGAAAACAACTATTCTTTTCTAACTATAGTTTCATTTTATCTACCTTAAATACATTTAGGTATGTGATCAACAAGCAGTAGTTCTTGTAAGCCTATACTTAAAAGTCAAGGTGATTTAATTTTGACTTTATCTACAATCAGATATGGTGTTACAAGCTATGGGTAGTTGCTAAGTAGTCGAAAGAGATTTTATATCGTGACTGTTATTTTTATCTATGTTATGTTTATCGCTTGCTTGGGTTATCTGAGTATAGAACGTTACAGGACAAAAAAAAAATGTTCGCAATAAACGTCATTCATGATTAGGTGACCCGTGATAGAGATATGGAAGGGAGTGCGCAACCACGCCCACATATACCGAGGAGATAATCAGATAATGTTTCTTATTCGTATGGTTTCTTAATAATTAAAAACGCTAAAATCACAGGTATGCGAAACGTTATTAGTGTATAACTGTAAATTGGGGTGAAATGAGCACTAAAATCCGCAATGACCCGTAATACTTGGTGCGATGCCAACGTAAATGTGTGTGTCATATATAGATGTCTACCGACTCAACCTAGAATAAATCCCTTTATAAATTCGCTTGTATTCGTTTATTATGTTTATCATAATAACTGTTTGGAATTTGTAGATAAAATTAGGCGAAGGCGTCGAGATCCGCGAGGAACTTCTCCGTGGTGTGAAATGGGGAGATTATAGGAAGGTGACTCGAGGGTTAGCTGCCGCATTGTTTTCGCCAATAGAGCTCGCCACTTGCTCGGTGACGGGTCAACGTTGGTCGAGAGCTGGGCAGGTACCGACCACTTTCACATGTACCTCTAAGCTTTCATTGTAGCATTCACTTGATTTATAAAGATATACATTTTTCATTAAATGTAACAGGATTAACTCCGCAAGATAAACCTTGAAGTCTTATCAAATCACATGTTTGTTGACCTTTGAGAACTTATCCTAAAATGAATCGCAAGCCTTACCCACAGATTAAAATTCGATAAGGTAGCGAATGTAAAATTCTGATATATCGATGTTATATTTAATTTATTAAAGGGCTTTTTGTTTATTTATTGCATAAAGCGATCTCCGGAGGTCAACGTCAATGCCGACACTCACTTTGAGGCATGAGGTTGAAGTCTTGAATGTATTATATAAAAGCTGTCCCGTTTTTCGAAACGGAGCGCATGACTACTTCGCGGCAGACATAAGCATAGCGGTGGGAACTGACTACCGAGCCGAGGGTCCTAGGTTCGATTCTCACCTCGGCAAAACATTTGCGTGATGAACACTTTCGTTTGCTTTTTGTGTGGGTGTGTAATGTTTATATATTTAAATGTATATTTTATCTCTTTACGGATAAGGTTACATAATATACGAATTTCAGAACAAGATTATTATAATTCGTTAGCATTGAATTGATTTTAAGGTACAAGCTGAAAGTCGTTTGTGAGTATTTCTTCATATCGTTGGGTGCGGCGTTATTCCAGGAGTCCCGTCCGACGAAGCCGCCCCTGGATCGCCGCCGCGTGCACGCTCTGATCTCGTATGTGAGCCGCCAGTTCCCCGAAGTGGAAGTCAGCAGGATCAAACAGGTCCTCGCTTACAAGTGCAAGGAGAACTGCGCTGCCCTACGCATGAGGACGGCAAGGTGAAATTTTCCTTAAAATAGAAATATTTCAATTTATATTACTGTACTAGCTAACCCGGCAGACTTCGTAGTGACTCAGTCGATAAACAAAATACCTAAACTTTTGTATAAAATAAACTTAAAACAAACAAAAGGAATCCGTCCGACGGGGGACACATCAAAGGAAAAACAAAATTGTTATTTTTATTGAATTCCGAGTATTTTCATATTTATCTACCTTTTGAACCTTCTCTAGACTTTCACAAATAATTCAAGACCAAAATTAGCCAAATCGGTAAAGCCGTTCTCGAGTTTTAGCGAGACTTAACCAACAGCAATTCATTTTTAAATCTAGAGTATATTAATAGGTTGACCAAAAAATATACGGTCCGAATTGAGAACCTTGAAATCCGTTGAAGTCATAAATTATTTTTACCCCAAATTAATTTTATTTCCTTTTTATCGCGGAATGTCATTGACTCAAAATAATATATCTAATATCTATGTCCGATTCGACCTCGGTTTTAAACCAATGATCATCTGAGGTCAACCCTATATGAGGCAACCCTAGTTGGCTTGAGATTTTCGGTATGCCAATATTAGGTTTATTTAAAAAAGTTTTCTCAGTCTACGACTGAACAAAAATGTTTTATTAGGATAAAAACATAAATTACCAGTAAATAAAAAAACTATAACAGTATTGCGATATTGCATGGATTACCTTTAAAAAAAATAAAATAAAAATATTTGAGGCATTATTATCGACAGCTACAGTAAAAATCATAAATTAAATGAAAAATAATAATAATTATAAAATACTTAAATAGAAAATCGAACTAATACTTAATTTGAACTCTTGTGTCCAAATTTTCAAGTTAATTGAGTGTCTTGAAGTCTGTGATAATGAAATTAAAAATCAAAATAAAATTTTTTTTATTCAACATAAATGAAAGTACATACTTGTTGAACGTCAAAAGAACTATGACCCAGCGGGGTATTCCGTAGGATAGACCATTCTAACCGGCGCCATCTAGGCGGGCTTCGGATAGCCTGCCGACCGAGAGGGCTGGTGGTCGTGGCGCCGACGACCGCCAGTCCGGCGTCCCGAGGGGGAGGGTGATGGGAGAGATGTGCTCCGCACTAAACGCTTTACTTTCCCCCCTTTGCCTTTTCATGAGTTTTGTCTCATGCGAGGTTTGGACGTTGGTTGTTGAGAGACAGGAGGTTTTAGTCGGTTCGACTCCGACATGCCCCGCCCTCCATCCCCAGTGAAGGGCGGAAGTCCGGCGATTTCATCCTGACACAAAAAAAAAAACCGCCAATGACATTCATAAATTCCGTTACCTACAAAAAAACATACATACATACTTAACTAACGAAAACGTGTTAAAATAGTGTTTTTTTTGTTATTAACTGTGGCATATACTTTATTTATTATTATTATTACTATCACTATTATCATATTAATAATTTACTATACTTTAACTTAATTACATTACTATACATTAAAGCATCGTAAGAGACATCATATTAACAGACTCACATACATACTTAATTGTTTTTGAGCGAAATATACAATTTCAGTCTTTTACCTTTTTACTTTAGCTGTCGATATTGTCATTCAATTATTATTAAAAATAATTATATTGATATTTTGTGTCGCTCGTAGATAATGACTAATTAATATAGTGGCGTAGTTAGCGTTATAAAAACACAAGATAATGCCGAGATTGGTAACTCTCAGGATATTATAGGTTTTTTTTTGTTGAAATCCAAACGTACTAACATTAACAATTTAAAAAAGTTGTTTTGTTTATCTGTTACCGCGTGATAGAAAATTGATAGATTACGCAAATTCGTTAATTATCAACTAAAATAATTAAATTAAGACTTAGAGTATTCTGATTGTAATGATTAAACAAAAAATAATTGGAATGATTATTTTAGTCTAAAACGGCGAAACAATTTGGTGACATTTTGTCTGTATACTACTCTGGTTTTATAAGTTAGTTGGTTACTTTAGTGTACTTCTTCTTCTTCTTAACATTTTCCCGGTCTAGTTGCCAGGGTCCGCTTTCCTCATTTTGCCCGGTCTTCGGCGTCCTTCTGAGCGAGGTTATCCTCTTTCTTCCATATCTGCCAGTATACTAATAGTTTTTTTTTATATGGAGGATAATCAGTAATCGCTCCTGGTGGTCCGGAGACTTTCCAGTTTCACCAGCACAAGTGGGACTAATCCAGGAGTGAGCTTTGCGTGACTGGTGGTGTGACCTTTGCACCTATTTCTTTAGCGATGCTGGGATAGACGCTCTACAATGATTCAGAGCTCGAACTCATGCTTCAAGTTAGGTGTGTCGACTTTTACTTGTGTGCTAGGTTTGGGCTCCGGTAACCACCTGAAGATCTCAAGCATCCTTTTGTAATAATTAAAGATAAGACTAAATTAAATACAAAATTTGAGCTCGTTGCTTAAGATGCATACCGCACCAACACTAGATAAGCTGTGAGCTCATTTCATGAATTATTGAACGAATTTAAGTTAGGTACTGTATTGAAGTAGACAGAATTGGAATCACTAGAATTTTTAAGAGATTTAATTTGACTCGAACCGTCTAGATTCTAGACTCTAGTCATCATTCATTCAATTCATTCATCAAATTCATTTATTTATACTTGTTGATTATCTGTAAAATATGCGCCCTCGGTGATTTTCAAATTTGGTATTGCGCCCTTAAGGACAAACAGGTTGCCGACCTCTATTCTAGAGTATAGCGGTATCTATTTCAAGAACGTCAAGGAAAGTAGTCGAGTTTTGGATTAATTTTAATAGGTAATGTAAGCATTTCATCGCGGAACTCGAGACAGTAATACAATTTGAAGCAGGCTCTCGAACTGTTTCAGTGATTCGACCAACTATCTGCTGAGCGCGGCCGCCCGCCCTCCGCCCTGCGAGGACGCGCCGCCCGCCGCCCACACTTCATATTCCAACTTGTAAGTAATACTGTGTATCAATCTGTGTAACGTGTCTGACTTGCAGAAAACAGAGATCTTAAATGATGGACGTAGAGATGTGATACTCGGATCATATGTTCTTTAAGCCTTTGACTGGCTTTGTAGGATACCGGTGCCTTGTGTGGCGCACTGAAGTAATAATGTTGATTTCTGTTAAGTCTGTGGTCAAAATTCGATTATAATTAATTGAAATTATAAGTTTGTACACTATTATGATTCTTTTGTCAAAGACTATTACTTATATAATAACAGATTTCGCCAAGAGTACACTTTAGACAAATTTTTTTTGTTGCTTTGAGGGGTGGACGATCTCACAGCCCACCTGGTGTTAAGTGGTTACTGGAGCCCATAGACATCCACGACGTAAATGCGCCACCCACCTTGAGATATAAGTTCTAAGGTCTCAGGTATAGTTACAACGGCTACCCCACCCTTCAAACCGAAACGCATTACTGTTTCACGGCAGAAATAGGTAGGGTGGTGGTACCCACCCGCGCGGACTCACAAGAGGTCCTACCACCAGTAATTACGCAAATTATAATTTTGCGGGTTTCATTTTTATTACACGATGTTATTCCTTCACCGTGGAAATCAATCGTGAACATTTGTTGAGTACGTATTTCCTTAGAAAAATTGGTACCCGCTTGAGATTCGAACACCGGTGCATCGCTCAACACGAATGCATCGGACGTCTTATCCGTTAGGCCACGACGGCAAATATTAATAAAGACAAACAATATATTTTAATCTATTCTCAATCCGATCACAGACTATAAGTAATAAGAAAAGTTTGACAATAAACAAATAGTATGCATGCGTGTGTGTGTGCCAAATAGATGCTAGTGTGTGTAATGTTTATTTTATCGATTTAATGTATTTTTTATAAATATTATAGAAAAATATTAACAGTCTGCATTCCTTTCCTATAATCTCTATAAGTGTGGGAAATCCCACACTCCTCCGTCCGCGCTATTTTCGTATAAACGGGTACAAAGTTTTTGTTTCACGTATTAATATAATTACAGATAAGCGCCTGGATTGCCTAACTTTGCCGTTTGTTTTTAATGTATATTTTAGTATCTTAGAAATAGATTCATGCTCAGTATCATCAGATTCGTCTTTCCTATAGTCTACTAGATATTCCCGCGCCTTAGTAACAGAAATCAACATATTTACTTCAGTGCGCCGCGTAGGGCACGGGTGGGTGGACCTACATTGCAGTCAACAGTTGGAGTGATCAGGACTTTTTTGAATTTGAACTCTAAGAACATGTTTTGTTATCTTGAGATTTTGAATTTTTGTATTGCTGTAGATGAGCTGACGAGTTTAGAGCCAGTCTAATGTTAGTAGTTCCCGCTGAACCAAGATTCAACTTACAATTGTAATATTGATAGCCCTAGACTTCAAACTAGAATCCACGTGTGCTTTAGTGGCAGGCATCAGGAAGGTCATGCCGCTATGAAATTTCAAAATAAAATATTTAGGTACAAATAAATATATTAGACAGATTATACTGTAATATTTGAATTTTATTACTCTCATCTCTATGTATATGAGTGGTGTTGTTTGTGTGCAGCGAGACATCAAAGGGCGCCGGCGGGAGCGGTGCGGGGGGCGAGGACGGGTCGGGCGCGGGGGCCGGGGGGGAGGCGCAGTGATGGCGCGGGCTCCGCACGCATGCACCTCCACTTCTTGATGCTGTTATTTTTACCAAAAAAAAGAGAAACCCTAGAGGCCCGCGCGGCTCGACGCGGATTCACTCAGAGATTTATATACGGCGGCGACCTCGCGTCCGTGGTAAATGTTCATATTTATTTAGGTGATATTTTTCTATTGGCTACTGATAAGATTTTTATCTCGTTATGTGTCCGCCGGCGACGCCGGGGACGCGTCCTGGACCGAGGGAGGGGGAGGGGTGGGGAGAGGAGCGCCCGAAGCTCTAGCAATAATATATCAGGTTCCTAAGACGTGTTTTGTAGTTAGGTTCTATTGCACGAATTCTCGCAAACACTGCCGCTTCGTTTCTGAATACAACTGGAGATGGACTTCGGCGTCCCGTCTTATCCGCGTTTACGTTTGGTCGAGAGTCGAGCTGTTTACTTCGTTCGTGTTAAATTTATGTAATGAGGCATTCGAATGCTGTACGAGGGACCGTTGCAATCGCAAACTGAATATATCAGAAATGGCATAATTTTAGAGCTAAACAATGTAGACGTATTTAGTCATTTCGTTTTATAGGTGTAATGATAAAGAATTTATTTTGGAGCGTCAGGTTGGGATAATGTAAAGTCTTTGGAAAGCTGTGATCGTGATGGATATAAAACAGTCATATTTTTTAAATATAAATATAAGAGTTATTACGTAATTATACAGACGGTATGATATTGGAGAGGCGAGGCGAGCGCGCGCTCCGGCGAACGCATCTGAGCGAAAATATATTTATCATATCAGAGAAAAAAGCAATAACTATTATTTGATAAAAATAAATAAAAATAAATGTTTTTTTTTAAGTAATATTTTATTAAATCGAGTTGCTATAAACGTAGTTAGTAAATTGAAACGATGAACAAGTGAAGTCCGCGACCATGTATAAAAGTTCTTTTGAACAAACCTCGTAACGTAATGCCACGCTGAATGAAGTCATATCAATATACAATATAATGATAGTCGTTTTTAACTGTTTTGTACCTCTTGTACGGATATCATCCATGCATGTAATGTCAGATCATAGGAACGTACTTATTTTTTTTACCAAACATTTACACAATGCAACTTCCATCCGAGTATTTATTACGAAACGAACTGAACATATATACTCATTAAAATTAATATTACTAAAAAATTTGTTTGTTCGTATTTAGACGATACTCGTTATTCTGATATATAGTACATCGAAATTACACACGTTAGCTAATAATGTCACGCGTACCTTTATAGGGTACCGGTAATTATTTACACGAATAGTTGTCGTGACTGTGATCTGACGTTTACTTAATCTGCCGCACGTCCGTAGCGTTGAACTGTACCAGACCGGTGTACCTATGGATTAATTACAGTTACCAGAATTAGGATATGTATGTAGTCACGCATTGCTACCTAGTGGAGACATGCAAGCAATATTTACGATGCCAATCGAAAGTCTTAATGCTCAATTTTGCCAAATTTATTACTTGCCGTTAATGCGTCTTGTCTATTGTTTTTTTTTTTTTTTAAAGTCAAAAGCAGACATTCCCGGAACTAAAATCGTCTTCGTTTACTAAAAAAAAAGGTAATGGGGAATCGAAAGTTTGCTCAATGTTTGATTTATTTTTCCTTATTAGCTCATAAAACATTCGCATTGAACGTGAAACGTTTCGGCCCAAAATGTAAATTGTTAGGAAATTTAAAAAAAAAAATGAAAATTTTATTGTAAGATTAGGAATGTTAAATTGAGAGTTAAAAATTAATTCGCAAGTATAACTTTGTGACGAATGCTCGAGATGCAATATGTTAATTTAGTGCCAAATGATAAGTTAACTCGTAGCAATATAATGTATCCTAATGCTCTTATGTAATTTCTCACGTAGTGTTAACGACCTATGAGGTTTCGATGGTTTCTTTTACAAGACTATATAATATATTTATACAGGGAAAGTGTTAGATATGTACTGTTGTTTGGGATAAGAGTGTTGTTGAGGTATAATACTCATTGTGGCAGAGTGTAAAAATAATCTGTGAGGTACCAATGTATATGCGAGCCCCGCCGCGCCGTCGCCAACGCATCGACGTATCGAGAGCGCTTACCTCGCTGACGTACGTACGGACGTATTTTTACACTCTGTTCTTTAAAGCACTGAATGAGCAATGGAACAAGAGAATTTATTTACTCAAATAAGTTTTTTTTTATTATTTACGATAATTTTACCACTAAATTTTTTTTTTAATATACATTATTTTGCATTTTATTATTATTATTACGGCAGCTGTCCATGTTGCAGTGAACGATGGAATCGTTCGCTGTTTTTGTTTTTAGGGTTTCATAAATAAAATTAGAAACGATACATCGAACATGACACATTGGGCACAAAATAATATTAAAAAATTTTTGCTTGAATTTCTATTTTGCTTGCTATTTTGTATTTAATCGAAATGTAATTAACATCGTCCTGATTCTATTGTCGGCTGAAACAAGCTATTGTGAAACCCTAAACTAGGTACATCAAAGAGATACGGGCAGCCAACGCGCTTAAGGGCCGACGAACCTTAGTTGATCTGGTTAAACTAAACTCTACATGCAACATTGTGACCAAGAGAATTGGTACTTGCATCGTCTGATCCTGCCCGCGTCTGTTTGAGTCAACCTTTTTTTTTATTTTCAACTAGGGGAAATTTTATCTATAATTTAAAAAGAACAACATCGATGCCACTGTGCTCTGGGAGGAGACAGCGTTGTGCCAAAATTACGTGCTAGTCTTTAAAAAAAAAACAAAATGTTGTTATCATTTTCAGATTTTATTTAGTCCAGAATGTGTTTGTTCCTATGCTGAAAATATTATGTGACAAACCAACACTCTTTGATTGGTGTGAGGCACAATGTAGCGTATTTAGTATCTGGTTAGACCAATTTTATTAGTCTTTCATATCGATATTAGACATATCCATTAGGTTTAACTGCACTAAAGTGTCGTAAATTTATAATGTTTTTTTTTTTTAATAATTTTTTTTAATTGTTTTTGATTGGTTTTAAATTCGCTATATTGTGTCAGTTGATCATATTGGTCGGCAAATATAAGGCAATTTAATTTTCTTCAAAATTTTGTAAGAAATAGAGGCTGATAATTCATTAAAATTGTGAATAAAAATATATGTTATATAATATATTATGCACATATCGTATATCATATTATATATTAATAAACACGATAATATATGACAAAAAGGTCGAAATTCATCTTAACTGTAGTAGATATTAATGAAATACGTAATTAAAAATAAAAGTCCTATAACTGTCGATCAATACGGTAGTCGCGTACGGTGGAGTACGTCAGGTCGTAGTACATGTTCTCGGGAGCTCAAAGATTCATAAAAAAAAAACTTATATCATTAGTAACGGTCCTTATTTTTTATTAAACATTAAATGACTTGTTGTTGGTTTGTTGTTATATTCGTGACAATATTATATTACATAATAGTAATGATATATGTATATTATATTTATAAAAGTGCACATAATAATTTTTAGCTTTGAGCTTGTGCAATATAACTGAAGATTGTTTATAAATAAAACTGTTACAATTATTTCTAAATTGTTATATACATATTTTTATAAACATAAAAGACAAAGGCAACATAAATTTATATTTTTGTTGTGCATTTATTATCAGATTTTATCAGATACTAAACCACAAACTCATTGTGGACTAGAATTTCCGTATCTGTGAGAAACTGTTAATTAAAAACAGTAGTTTTTTATATATTGCTAATATTGTGAGTCAATTCTAGTAATATTAATGTTCCCTTTATTTAGATTTAATATTAATTTTATTAAACAAGTTATGTTAAGATTGCTCAATCGAGATGCAATGCTAACTGCAATCTAGACACAATAATTTTTATTTATCTGATATTACAGTTTTTTTTCATTGTGAGTTATGGCAGCGCATGTTAGTCTTATGTGTTATTTTTAAGAGAGGCCAAATGTTGACTTGCTTATGTGAGACTGTTTTGCCAAGAATCAGAAAGTATATTATTACCTACATTGTTTTAAAGTAAATGCTTTTATATAAAATTGATTGTTTTTAACTTGTATTTACCTTTATTCAATTTACAGTATAATAATAAAGACTACAAATATAAGATCAACGAGAAAACAAAAATATTATCACTTAAAAGTTTTAAAAGCGTGAAGACGGATTCAGTTTAAATTAAATACTTCATAGTTATGATTTTATAAATCCTTTGGCAAAGATGCGAGGTGTCAAGCTTTGTAACTTTTAATTACATTGTTTTGTAAATTTGGTATTCTAGTTTAAATGCATAACACTGCACATGGTGGATAGGAAAAAACCAAAATGGCTAGAAATGGTTTCAGGCGTGCTTCAAAAAAGTCCAATTATTTTACTGGGAGCGCTTGTTTTATTTCACCTCATCCAACACTTATGGTGTTGTTCACTTTATTTAAATTTCATTCTGATCCATTTTACTTTTCATACAACAGGATCGTCCCGGATTCTCTCAGTGGTTCGCGTTTCCGATCTGGTGGTAGATTCTGCGAAGCACTGCTCTTGCTAGGGATAGTGTTAGCAACGTCTCTAGGTTAGAGCCGCGAGAGCTCACCTACTCGCTCGGTTACGCTGGCATAGCCTCTCAAGGCTACGAGCTTAAGTAGGACAAAAAAAGCCTTTATTACAATAGATTTGAGTCCATTAGTTATGTCTCTTTCTTGAATAAACGAATCATAGTTAGGATAATTAAAAAGAAGCTCGTATTAGTTGGGAAANGGGATAGTGTTAGCAACGTCTCTAGGTTAGAGCCGCGAGAGCTCACCTACTCGCTCGGTTACGCTGGCATAGCCTCTCAAGGCTACGAGCTTAAGTAGGACAAAAAAAGCCTTTATTACAATAGATTTGAGTCCATTAGTTATGTCTCTTTCTTGAATAAACGAATCATAGTTAGGATAATTAAAAAGAAGCTCGTATTAGTTGGGAAAGGAATATTAAAATCAGAGAGTATGAATGTATAGAACGCAAATTTTAGGGAAATATGAGTTAAGGAGCCAATGGCTTAAACACGTTAGAGGTTAGATATTTTAAATTGAATTTAAATAATAACTATGGCCACAAGAATGACGTAATCTAAGTCAATTGTTAATTAAATTATTGGACAATAGTTTACGCGATACAGTAAGTTGTAGTTTTTAATGTTGGTATTTGTAAATTTTTCATTGCAGAAGATCGTCTTGTCTTTTATAACATTTATCTACATGCATGTTTCTCACTTCGATAAAGCGTCACGACATGAGAATACTCTCAGCGTGGCCGCCGGAAACTACATTGCCGATCCTGCGGACCAAATGGTAATCAGTCGACGTCGCCCAAAATACGTCATTTCGGATCCTCCCGATCCACTAACGGTGTTTTTAGGTAGGTACCCCAAGCATCGGTCATCGTTCTAGTCAAACCCGTCGCTTGCGACGAAGGGCTCTGCGAGTAAATTAACCCACAGACACAGCCCACTGAGTTTCTCGCCGGATCTTCTCAGTGGGTCGCGTTTCCGATCCGGTGGTAGATTCTGCGAAGCACGGCTCTTGCTAAGGTTCGTGTTAGCAACCGATGTTCGAGGGGCTCAAACCTGACGATTCAGGTTTGAGCCCCGTGAGCTCACCTATTAGTTAAGGTTACGCTGATATGGTCTCTCTGGACCAGGTATATAAGTCTAGGTAGGAAAAAATAAAGTATGTTTTTTGCACACGTACACTGCGAGTAGGTACATAATCTAATTCTTGCAGGTACTCTAGTCATAATACACTAATATCATAGATAGTACATTTAATATCTCTATACCACTCGTGACGCCTGCCACAGTATTCTTGAACACACAACTATCTACCTACAAATCTTAAATATGCCTCAGCCTCAGCATTGCTGATATCTTCGTTTCTTTTGCGCTATGACCTTAAGTGAAGTTAAGTGAATGTCTATGGCTATGACATTGCCGTAGACTATCACAATGACAAGAATGGCTTCTTCTATTAGACTACAACACCTAGACTATAATTTATTCTTTATTTCAAGGTTTGCAAAGTTGCCGATCTACAGTTAAGATTTACCAAAAACAATAAAGGGTACCTACATGATTATGTATGTACCCTGTTGACATTTGTATTTTACCATACCATTTAGGAGTACCAACATTATGGAAAAAACCGATAATAGCCCCGGAAATAGTGAAAACCCTAATTATTAAATGCGCTAATCACCTTTAAAGTGAAGTGGCTCACAAAGTAGAATTCGTAATTTAAGTAAGTCTCCAAAATGTTTGTAAAGTTGTATGATTTATGACGGTGTTACTGTGGGAACGTTCATGAAATAAAGAGGTAGCGATATAATAAAAAAGATAATTAAAATACGGTTTTCTGAACATAGCAGATATTGTGTTCCACTTCCTACTAAACTTACTTTTTTATATTTTGAATCGCCCACTTTGGAACTTACTCTTTTTGCATTTATCACCATTCTGAATCCCTTTTAGACGGAGTAATGTTTAAACATCTCTTAGAGATGTGTCACAGACCACTAATATTTTAATAAGATAAAGCAAAAGAGTTAATATTTCTAAACAAAATCTGTTCAGGATCAGATATGTAATATTGGTGGCTAAATAACCACTAAGTATCTGTGCTTATACGGGAAGTCGAAAGAAAATAGCTTGACATAATTTTTCCAGGCCTTCCTAAAGCCCATTAAAGTGTCGGTAAATTACCTAAATTTTATTGACAATGTGTTACATTTAATCTCTTTATTATTATTTTTCATTATTCACAAAATGGCTTCAATCTTTTTGACTAAAAATTTTATTAGGCCACACTTCCTTTGCCTTTCCAATGGACTTTCATACAAAAGTAAAGTATGTGTCAACTGTCAAAAATCGCAACAAAGCAATCAATCAAATGAATCGAATCAAATTAAAAAATATCCCGTTTTGATTCAAAGACTGCAAAGACTTTTTGATGCAAAGCTGCAATGTGATGTTTTTATTCGTTAAAAGCAAATTATTCACTAATTAAATATTATTTCAAACATCTTATTTAAAAACACATCGTTTTTTGAAACATTACATGCTTTCTCCAAATAGTTATTTAGAAACATTAGATGGCGTTTCCTCAGCCTAATGCTCAAAGAGGTCAGTATACGCTAATATTAGCATAGCGTGTGAATTCTTTGTGTACTGATTGATAATTTAAAACGTTGAAATAATATTAATTCATGCGTTTCTAAAATTGTTTCAGAGTTGACAAATAGGAAGATATTAGAGGATCTGCAGTTGAAGAAACAGATGCTTTTGAAACAAGGCGCTGTTGCTCCGTTAACAGCAGCCCTGAGTCAGCCAAATCCTGTCAGTCAGCTTCCTATGTGTTCCATCCCTCCAGTTTCGGCAACAGCTGTGAGTAAATTAAATCGCAACTATAAATAAATTTATAATTATTTTGTAGACCAAGAGTTATTTGGTGAAATAACAAGTGAGTGATATATAACCTTTGTTGAGTCTCTATATCGGGCAAAGATTAATAAGACACATCTTCAGTTAAGTGATTAAAGTATATTGGGATTACAACCTAACATGCTATCGACAGCCCGACAATCCCGAGACTGGTGTAGCATCACTGCAATATAATTATTGCTAACACACACATATTATTAGTTGCTATGGGAACATTTGTGGTACCTACCTACACCTTCATATTTTACCTTATTATAAAGCTGAAGAGTTTGTCTGTTTGGTTGAACACGCTAATCTGAGGAACTACTGGTCTGATATTTAAAAATGATATTAGATAGCCCATTTATTGAGGAAGCCTATAGGCTATATAACATCATGCTAAGACCAATACAAGCAGAGCTCTAATAAAGAATGTTTCAAAATCTGGGCATTTTCCCTTTTGAGAGCTTCCGCAGTGCACGCAGCAGAAACAGTTAAAGTTTCGCTAAAATATTGTATGACAGAATTGTCCCCTTTTAAAAGTTATAAAGAAAAGTCTGCGATATGACTATATTTTAAGGTTGGCTTTTTTTATTTTATTGCTTAGATGGGTGGACGAGCTCACAGCCCACCTGGTATTAAGTGGTCACTGGAGCCCATAGACATCTACAACGTAAATGCGCCACCCATCTTGAGATATAAGTTCTAAGGTCTCAAGTATAGTTACAACGGCTGCCCTACCCTTCAAACCGAAATGCATTACTGCTTCACGGTAGAAATAGGCAGAGTGGTGGTACCTACCCGCGCGCACTCACAAGAGGTCCTACCACCAGTAGTAGAACTTAATTTTAAATTTAGGGTGTGGTTTTAATTATTTTAAATCTTCTTTCAGGGTTTTCCTCAACTTCCTGAAGCAAATGTGATAAATACTAGTCATAGAGCTGCACTCCAGCACGCCAACGCAACATCTTGTGGTTATTTTGTATCTCAGGATTCCTCATTTGGCAATCAAATTCTACCAGTTTTACCTCGTTTTGAGAACAAGTGATAATGACTGCATTAATGAAGCTGAAAACCTTGGAGGGTCATCTACAGGATCTAAAGGGTTTTACTAAACCAAAAATTAAATTTGAGCAGTACGAGACACCCGCTCATATTGCTGCAATTGCTCTGTACACAATTCAAGTTAGTTTACATTTTACAGTCAAACATTCACAAATTGATAATGCTTTTGTTTAACTAATCACTATTAAACCATATAATTTCTTTCAGACACAATTTGGAGATTTGGAAGATAAACTCATTTTAGATGCGGGTTGTGGCCCTGGAAATCTGAGTATTGGTGCAGTGTTGCTAGGTGCTGGGTTCGTGACATCTGTTGAAATAGATGCTGATGCACTGGAAGTCTTTCAAGAAAATATACAAGAAATGGAGATTGAAAACATTGATATTGTTCAATGTGATTTTCTTAGTGAGAGCTATTTTAGGTATGTATTTTCATTTAAGAAAACCAAGAAGATAAATATTGTTTACCTTAATGAATTGAAGTCGATAGCAGAGTCACAGAGAGATGTGCAAAGACATTAAGCAAAAACTTCACTTGAAATTTATGTTGAAAGCAGTAGCTAATATCCAAGAAATATAATTGGGCATAAATAGAATTATAATGACACTTAAAGGCATAACAATTTGCAACGGTATCACTACTACTAACTAATTGAAAAAGAATATTAACTTACTAGTTATTCTAACTTACAATATAACAACTAGGCAGCTGATCAACAGCTGCCTTTGTTCATAATACTTATATATAAGCCTGTTTTTATTGATAACTAGTTTAATATTTTTCAGATGGGAAAACATGTTTGATACAGTAATAATGAATCCACCATTTGGTACCAAGAATAATGCTGGTATTGATATAAAGTTCCTTCAAATGGGAATCCATTGTAGTTACGACACTATTTACTCACTACATAAATCTTCCACAAGGTTAGTGAATTTTATAAATTTTATTAAATACGCAGCTCATTTAAATATTTTGTTTTCCAAATTTTACTTCGATTTACTTTAGGAAAGTTACTCTCGTGCAAGTAAGCTTGGATTTTTTTTGTTATTCTCATTATTGAGTTTGTAGACGAGCATATAGCCCATCTTATAGTGAGTGGTTTGTTGCCTGCTGCTATCACAGTAGTCATCTGAGACGTGCGTACAATATGCAGCAGTGCACAGCGTGAATTCAACCCAAGTGCTTGTACCTAAAGAATTAATCATTTCAACAACAATGCAGCGAGAATTACAAGTACTTATGAACCAAAATTATATCCCTTGTGAATAGTGGTTTTTAACGGAATTTAAAACACCCTATGTCCTTTTACGTACATGCTATTATGTGGAACGTCAACATATTATGTGGAAATTTCCATTATGATCACTTGAGTAGTTAAGACATGATAACCTTACCGCACCTAGATACTAAGGGTGGAAGTTGTGTTGGATACTTGCTACAAAGGAAATAAATAAAAAAAAGTGCAAACTCCAAAAACATATTCAAACGCTCTTGGGGAGTCAACGCCGTGACCCGACATGCTAATCCCGCTAGGTGGTTATTCTTGCAAAAGTAATCATCACCTTCATCGAATTCCTGTTTTTAACCAACTTCAAAAAAGTAGGAGGTTATCAATCCAACAGTTTTTTTATGTGTGTTACCTCAGATTTTTTTGTATGTTTTTTTGTGTACACACTGCGTTGTTGTTGGTGTATGGATTTTGATGATTCTTTTTTTAGCGGGAACTTCTCATTTAGGGAAGTTTAAATGTCATTAAGATCTGATCAGTACTTTCCAGTTCTTAAAATAATTCGTATTTCATTGACTTAGACTATGTACATACGTTAATAATATTCTCATTATATTTTGTCTGATCCGATTACTTTTTTGTTTGAAAATTTCTCTTATAATTTTTAACTCAAATGCAAGTACATATGAGTCGTCTATTATCAAAGGTGGCAATCTGTGCATTTGGACAAAAAAATGTTATTGATATGTCAATACAGATTCATTTGAATATAATCGTCTGCTTCAAAGAATACGGTTCAAAACCTGCATTAAATAAAGGTTAATACTTAACCTGTTATTTATCTAAGATGTCGTTCAGAAGAGTTTTGTGACTGCCAATGGAATACAAAGTCAATAATTCGTTTTTCTGATTTACCAATAATTGTCCAAAAGTCACATTGCCGGCTTTGATAATAGTCGACTCATATATACCTTATACTTAACAGATAAAAAAATCCTTAATTTCTAATCACAGGTTGATATATATTATCCGTACACTTATTCTTAATGTTATATAATTCCAGGTCGCACATTGAGAAGAAAGTAAAAGAATGGAACATGAAAGGTGGCGTTGTTGCAGAATTACGGTACAACTTACCCGCTACATACAAATTTCACAAGAAACAATCTCTAGATATTGCAGTGGATTTATGGAGAATACAACATGTGCGCTCGTAACAAATACATATATATATTTTTTTATTGCCTTTGTAGACAGATGAATATACGGTCCACCCGATGGTAAGTGGTTACCGTCGCTCATGGACATCAGCAATGGCAGAGAGCCAAGCCACTGCCTACCATATAGTGTACTCAAACGAGTACCAAACTATTTAATTGGTTTAATAATATTGTCGCATATAAAAAGAAATGTATTTTTTATTATAGAAGTCACGAGTCTGGTAGACTGTGATTTTACTTTATATTGTAAATAAAATCAGTTTTTTTGTCAGTTTAAATAATAAGTATAGTATCAAATTATTTTGTAGCTCTAAGGCCCATAATATCATTCAGGGTTTAAACTAAGGATCAACAAAACTTCGTTCAAATTTGATCCATAGATTAAACTACTTTCGTAATATCAATACAAAAACAAACAGAGATCAGCTGAACTGTGACAATGTTATGACGTGTGGCAACATTTTGTGATCCGTTCATTCTTTTCAATCTTTTAACAATCCCAAGCTAAAATTACANCACCGGTCACCGTTCTCGTCGAACCCGTCGCTTGCGACGAAGGGCTCGACGAGTAAATTAACTCCCAGACACAGCCCACTGAGTTTCTCGCCGGATCTTCTCAGTGGGTCGCGTTTCCGATCCGGTGGTAGATTCTGCGAAGCACGACTCTTGCTAGGGTTCGTGTTAGCAACGTCATCAGGTTTGAGCCCCGTGAGCTCACTAGGAAAAAAAATAATAAAAAAAAATGGGCTGTCGTCGTTATACCAGGTACTCACTTTTTCATTAAATTATTCAGTCGATTTTTCAAATTACCATTGACGTATTAGAATGTCCTGATAATATCTTCACTACGAAGGTAAAGTTCGACGTGATACTTAGTCCATGGCATCAGATCCAAGGGTTTTCGCAGGATCTGTTCAGCGGGTCGCCATTATGACTTGGTGGTGGGTATCGCAAAGCAGCTGCTCTTTAGCGGTTAGCCCCCTTTGGAGATGTTCAAGCAAAGCCTTTCTTCTTGGACTTGGAAGCCTCTGCCTACCAATCCCTCCAATCCAAAAAAAGAAGAAAATCCGGAATATTTTTTTAAAAGCGTATTAGTGATATTATACGCCCCTATTTACTATGTATAACAACACAATGCAGAATTACTGATATCCACAAATCTAAGCAATAAAAAAATAAAAAAGCGTACCACTCACTATTAAGTGGATTTGACGTCGATGCAAAAGTATCATTGTAATGAAGAAATTAAGCCTGAAATTAAAAGACCCTCTTCTATTGGAGGACTCTGTTTATTCACAAATAAAGTATTTAACTTTTTTATTCCATTAGTACGGTAAACGGTTTTTTTATTGAATAGATGGGTGGACGAGCTCACAGTCCACCTGGTGTTAAGTGGTTACTAGTGGTTCTATAACGTAAATGCGCCACCCACCTTGAGATATAAGTTCTAAGATCTCAGTATAGTTACAACGGCTGCCCCACCCTTCAAACCGAAACACATTATTGCTTCACGGCAGAAATAGGCGGGGCGGTGGTACCTACCCGTGCGGACTCCCAAGAGGTCCTACCACCAGTAATTACGCAAATTATAATTTTGCGGGTTTGATTTTTATTACATGATGTTATTCCTTCACCGTGGAAGTCAATCGTGAACATTTGATTTAGTACATTTACGAGTATAAGCCTACAACCGTGAATCTGTGAAGTTTTTTCATCAAACTAATCCTTGGGGGGCATTATCATCCCGAAATTAATGAATAAGAGAAGAGAGCATGTGAGCTATCGTGATCTTGCTGGACCACCTCAACAGAGAATTTCATTTCGATGATCTCGCGATGTTGAAAGCTGCAAAACTGGCAACAAATCGTGACGAAAGCATTGAAATATCAGATATAGAATATTGATTCGAGCTTCAACAAGAGTGAGCGTCTCAGAAGAAAATACACTTTGGAGAACTTAAGAAAGAACGCTCTGTAGAAAAAGGCCAGATTACCAGTGCTGACTTTTGACAAATGAGAATTTTTGTTATCAATCCAATACTGTAATATCCAAGATCTTAAATTGGTACTGTTATTAAATTAAAATCCAGAAATACTATAAATCACACATTGAGCATATGATCGGTGTGCGTTCAAAATTTTGAATTCATGATTTAGTGAATAATAATTGACTTTTACGTGAGCTTGGAAGCTCAATCGGGAATGCGCCTATATGATGAGATTATAATAAATGAACAGAAGCCCATAGGTGTTTCACTACTGACCCTGAAAATCAACCTCGTTTTTGGAGTGATGAAGTCGAAGATTAATCATGAGATTGCTAAGAATGGTTTTATAGGAAACGGCAGGTTTCATGAAGAAAAATAGAACTGTAAACCTAATTTTCGGGAAATTTTCAAACTGCATTATAATTGAAATCATTTCAAATTTAGTAAAGAAAGTCCATATAAGTATTGCTTGTGACTCACCAAATGAGACTTTCGCAAATTCACTATCCGCGCGAATTTTGAAGCGTGGTTGGATATTACATTTAATTTAATTATGTAATTAATCTAATTATTCCTCTGGATCAATTGAAAGAATCGTTGATTACGCCATAAATTTGTGCCAAGGAGAGATATGCTAAAGCGGTAGAATGGCCAACGCCTAAGTACAAATAATAAATAGCTTTTAATGTTTCTGTTTCTTCTTCTACAAACTTCAAAGGATTATGACTTAGGCGGCATACTTTTGCGTTGTGCTGTGATATAAATTCGTCCATATTACTGTTGTTGGACAAAATTCTCTCATTTTTGTATTGCTAGCATACACTAAGGTGATAAGGAGTTCAAGCGTAAGCATGGCGGACAGCTCCTCAGGTACAAAGATGTGCTTAAGCGTCACATTGAGCCTTCTGAGTGGGAGCAAACAGCCTCTCGACGACCGGAATGGAAGTCTTTGGCGAAAACCAGAGTAAAATACTTTAAGAAGAAACGCAGCTCAGAAACAGATGCTCGACGCAATGAACTGAAAGCACGACCGCCTTGTGCTATCTCTTACAACTATTATTATTGTGTGCTCACATGTCCGCAATGTACACTAACGTTTAGGAATAAAATCGGCTATGTTAGCCACACACGAGCTCACCGTGACAATTAGAAACGGATTTCGAAGTGGTCGCCGTTTCGGCTAAGGAGAGTAGTAGTAAGGAGTATCCACAAGTATGTTTTCTCAGTGTTGGTAATTCGACCAAAATACCACACCTCAAAATCTAAGCTCATTTCACGTTTTTTTATTGAAATATTAAACAAATGCACTGACTGACTTTAAAACAACTTTATTGATAACACTAAAGCTCATCAATAGAACTTAAACTAGATATAAAAAAGATTCTATTTTTTTAAAGGAAAAAGTGGCTGTATCCCAATTCATTTTATTGTTAATACTTCTGGACATTACATCATATATCAACACTAGAAATAATATAGGATTATGAGTGGAGATACTAGTGCTTAATTGCTTTGTCGTTGCCTATTCTTTAAAATGACTTGAAGTTCAGTATTTGAAGGAAATAACAATAAGTACGTACTTTTCTAAATATTGGAAGTTTGTGTTGTGACGGATTAAATTAAAAAAACAGCTCAAATACGCATTAAGCAGTTAATCCCTTCACAGCATTGTGACAGTCATCCGTGACTCAAAGTACTCGTGGGGGAGCCTTTTTTTTTTTATTGCTTATATGGATGGAAGAGCTCACAGCCCACCTGGTGTTAAGTGGTTACTGGAGCCCATAGACATCTACAACGTAAACTTACCAACCACCTTCAGATATAAGTTCTAAGGTCTCAGTATAGTTACAACGGCTGCCCCACCCTTCAAACCGAAACGCATTACTGCTTCACGGCAGAAATAGGCGGGGTGGTGGTACCTACCCGTGCGGACACACAAGAGGTCCTACCACCAGTAATACGTACTAGTATTAATACTAGTACTAGTACTAATACTAGTACTAGGTACAATTTGCTAGTACTAGGTACAATTTGCTAGTACTAGTACTAGTATTAGTACTAGTACTAGCAAATTGGGTTAGATTGGAAGAAACGTTACGTTTACAGAATTAACAACAATCAGAATGAACGAAAACAAAAATATAATGTGTATTTATAAAAAAGAAACATTCTAAATAAAATATGGTGCTTAAGACGTTTCCTATTTCGCGAGAAATTTTTCATTATTTTTGACGGAGACTAAATAATGAACGATATAAGGAATTTTGTTGCAATGCGTGCAAGAGATAAGATAACGCTATCCCATTCGATAGAGATGTTTACGTTGGACGGTTGATACCGATTCGTCTCGTAACCGCTAATTTTTTTTTTGTGTCCAAAATAATTGCCTTATTCTTGCATGTTGCATGTTTTGCAAATTTATGATAACCGATTCACCAATTGATATACTTTATCAGAATCACATACGTTCGAAACGGATTCAATGATTCTCCAGATTCATACATATGTGTTTGCGTTGTAGCGATTTTGGTGGTCTATCCTTATTCCCGATTTTACGAAAACGTTACATACGGATTGATAGAGATAACGATCGTAGTAAGCGGGACCCTAAATGTAATTAGTGAAGCGGATGGGGAATTCTCGCGCGGCCTTTTAACAAGCAGGCCGGCTGCACGGGCGCACCTGTCCGGCTGCGCACGCGCCAGCATCAGACCGCCCCCACGCGCGCAAGCTGCTCTCTTACATCTTCACTCTATTGTCATGTCCCCTAACCACCAGCTTGTGCTACCCATTCAAATCAAGGCTCACCCGACCTTAATTCATATTCAAGCCACCACTTCTACGCTATTACGAACATCAAAGCTATCTCATAAAAAGACGCATCAAACATCAGAAGATCAATAGTGGCCTCGTATAACCAAGTAGTTACTCAGTGTGTGATGAAATGCTTATCAATGATCAAAGAAGTGCAGGGTCTCGGTAGCATCCGCATTCCATAGGAACATGNTCAAGGCTCGCCCGACCTTAATTCATATTCAAGCCACCACTTCTACGCTATTACGAACATCAAAGCTATCTCATAAAAAGACGCATCAAACATCAGAAGATCAATAGTGGCCTCGTATAACCAAGTAGTTACTCAGTGTGTGATGAAATGCTTATCAATGATCAAAGAAGTGCAGGGTCTCGGTAGCATCCGCATTCCATAGGAACATGTTCGGGCCAACGTTTCAAAGTTCGTCGTGAGCAATTTGCGACAGTGCACCACGCTCGTTAACATTCCATAAACCTCGCACTCCCACAATTGGCTCCAGCGCCGTC